CAAGAGGAGGCGCAGCCTGCAGTGCCAGCCCAACCCAAGCCTCATCCCCTCACCCACTGCCGCATCGTGACTAAGACGACGCCGCCGCCAGAGCTGCGAGATGACATCATGACGGACCTGGCCGTCTATGGCGTGCGACCCAAGACAGCCCATCCGCACCGAAAGCAGGAGGACTTGATCAAGGCCAGCGCAAGAAAAGTGTGTCAGTGCGAGAAGGTCAGATCAGACATAGATTTGTTTAGGGGCCCTTTTATTCATCAGTAATAGACTGGTTATGTCAAGGAGTTACTTTCTGCCTCATGACAGGAACTGGCTCTGAAGCGGCTCCGGGAGCATCCCACGGCGCCCTCTGATGATATGGTGGATGCTGTGGACAAAGGTGAGCTCTGGCCACGCGCCTTTTGTGCATTTGCTGGTTGCGGCTGGGCTTCCATGCGCGGCAATGAAAAAGATTTGCACGCCCACCTCAAGGAGGAGCACGCGGCGGACCTGGCGCCCATAGCTGCATGCATGTTGCGCGGCGCTGCTCCTGATGCATACCTGAGCATATACAATCAGGCCGTTGCTGCCGTCTGCCGGAATCAGGCGCCAGTGGCCGGGGCCTCCCTCGACCGCAGGGCTTTGCACGCCTTTACAGAGGCCTGCAAAGGGGACAGTGTGGAGGCGTTGGTGTGCTTCAGCTGCGCCTGCATCTATACGCGCATCAAAGAGCTTGCAGAGGCAGGCACCGGCGACATTCAGTGGTCCCAGCCCTTGAAGCCCAAGCCCAGCACCAACGAGCTCCGTTTCTTCGGCCGCCCTGTGCACGAGACGGCAAGCATCTTGGGCCTGGACGCCTTCTTGGAACGCTACGACCAACTGTCTAAGGAAGGTCACCGCCTCTCCGACCATGAGTCTTTCGAGGAATGGTCCGTGAGTTTACCCGGAGGAGAGAAGATTCTTTGCTGCCCCGAGGACAGTGAAAAGCGAGCGTGAAAGAGTTTCTCTCAACATGGGAGCCGTCTGCGTTTGCAATTTTATCCCTGTGTTGCATCTCCTGTCTGACTTCCGCGTCTTTTGTGATAGCCCCGTTGCCTGCAGGACCATCGCTGCCGTGCGCATCCAGCCCATGTCCATGATAGGCAACTTTGCGAAGGATGTGAGGTGCCGATTTGTCGCAAATGCCAAGAGAAGCTGGAAGAAGGCAAGCTGCCGCCTCTATCGTTGGCAAATGACATGTGGACAGGCTACGCGCCGCAGCGCTTGGTGGAGCAGAAGGTGACGGTGATGGAGGCCATCTGCGCTTGCCCTTGCGTCACCACGCTCATTTGCATGACCATGGAGGCGCGCTACGAGGACAATATCAAGCAGGGGGCCCGAGAAGCCGAGCCACTGAATTCCAAGGCGCAGATGGCCAGGCATCGCTTCGGCGCACGGGGGAACGCCCTCACATTCCCATTGCCCTTGGAGGAGCTTTTCCGGGCCTTGCAAGACCATGCGGCTGAGGTCGACGGGCAACGGCCCCTGCAACTCCCACGCGTGGGCAAGGAGCTTGAACACGTGGTCCGCGTGCTGCTAAAGACCAACAAGGAAGGAGCGACCACCGAGCAGGAAATTAAGACTTTGATCCATCAGGCGCTGGTTCGCCGAGAGGCCCGGGGTTGCGGAAAGAGGGTATACGCGCGCCCAGATTTTTCCAATGTTTATCGCGGTGATGATGCGTGTTGCAAAACCAAGAAATAACTCTCAGGTGGTGGTCGGACTCATCGTGGACATGCATCGCCTCGGGCACCCTTCGTATGCCAACCTGGATGAAGACTTGGTGCGGGAACGGGCCAAAGCCTTGCCAGAAGAAGGTGTTCCACCGGAAGTGCTGAAGGTTTTGCCGCGCTTGGACGGGGCGCAGGACAAGTTGCAACCGCAGAAGGCCGCTACGCCGTGTGACGGCATGGAGC